GAAGTAATTTACCGTAAATAATTGTATCTCAATCTCTAAATTGAACTTTAATCACATACAGGAGGCTCTTTCAGGGTCTAGCAAGCTATTAACATAGCAGGGGATAAGAAAATCTAAATTAAACAGAACTTGAAATAAAGAAAGCCTAAATAGGGCTCTCTTTACAGGAAGTGTTTATGGAAGGCTGTGCAAGTCACATGCACGGAGGTGTGACTAGGGTTCATAAACAAAGGGATTTAACTCCTAAATGACAGAGGATTGAGCAGTGAGGCTGCAGGGGCATGTTCTGTACACCAAAACTGCTTCATTAAGATAAAGTTGTTCAGGTGACTATAGTGTCCCTTTAATATTAATTTAAGATTTCACTAAAGGTCTTACTTGGTTTGTAGTTTCTGAGGGAGCTGATTTATGCTGGGATTCCTTCCTATGCAAAGTTTTTTGTAGGGCAAAGAAGGATTTTTATTAGACTTGGGCACTTCAGAAATTTTAGTTTTGTCAGAACACAATTTGTCCATTCTTTCATTCATTTTCGTATAAAATTTGTTTTTGTTTTTCGTTATGGATAAACCCATTCGTTCATTCGGTGCAATTTAATTTAATTCGCACCAAATTATTTTAACATAAAATCAGTTTCCTAAATACCGAATGGCCTAAAGTGAACTAAGTAAAACCATTCGTTACATGAAAATGTATTGGCACTATTAGTAAACTCCTGAACACTCGCTATAGGCATTTGTATGTTGAATTGCATTGCAAATGCTTTGTCTCTTAGGCTCATGAATCATCATGTTTAACTGACAGGTGGGAACTGGCAACACAATATCATTTTAAATTAGCCAATTAAATAGGCCTATACATCCTCCAGATAAAACTGTAAAAAAAAATAATGTATTCTCCAGGCAGAGCAAGCAATCCTTCAGTGCAAAATCTATCCAGACATTGTATAGGCCAGCAATTCAGCCATTTTAGAGGTCAGCCAGCCCACCACCTGATAACCATCTTAGAATGCCCTGGCACTTTTATCCAGTACCTGCAAGGACTTAGGAGTGGCTGTGTCTTACTCCAGCTCAATTTCAATGGATATAGTGGAAAGGGGATTGCAGAAGCAAGTGGGAGAAGCAAGGGAAAGCAGAGGAAGCCCAGAATTTTAAAGGCAGATCCTTAGAGGAAAAGAAATATGCAGAAAACTTTGGTGCAGAGGAGAATGCAGTACTGGTCAAAAAGTTGTGCCAGGACTACCAATGCATTTTTGGCAGAGCAGCCAAACTTTTCATTCAAGGAAGAACCATATGTGGAGGAAGATTGTGGTTGAGATGAACGCTGTTGGTGGGAACAACTGCACTGAGGACATGGTGAAGAAATGGTAAGGGCACTTATATTCCTAATAAAATTATTTTCTTTATTCCATGTTCTTTAAAATGTATTTTTTCCTCCATGTGATTTTGCTACCCCCCATTGGCAGCTATTTTTTTAATGTATTTTAAAAGTGAGCAAAAGCACTCATAGGGAAAAAAAACACCATGTGCACCGCAGCTTTAAAGAAACACTATAGTGACAGGAATACAAACATGTATTCCTGTCACAATAGCTGTGAAAACACAGTTTAGCTTTCCTGTTAGCAATGTAACTGTAATTACTCATCTTTATAACAGAGCTGTGCTGGTCCATCTCAACTGGTTCTGCTCCCACTCTGTCTCTTTGGCTGAGATCTTCATAATTGATATCAGCCAATAAGAAAGCATTGGGAGGCTATCATGTTGCAAAACGCTGCACTAAGTCAATCAGCATAGAAACATAGAAACATAGAAACATAGAAACATAGTATGTGACGGCAGATAAGAACCATTCGGCCCATCTAGTCTGCCCAATTTTCTAAATACTTTCATTAGTCCTTTAACATGGTTTCCATCACTTTCCCCGCTACTGAAGTAAGGCTTACTGGCCTATAGTTGCCCGACTCCTCCCTATTACCTTTCTTGTAAATGGGCACAACATTCGCTAACTTCCAATCTTCTGGGACTACTCCTGTTAACAATGATTGGTTAAATAAATCTGTTAATGGTTTTGCTAGTACACCACTAAGCTCTTTTAATAGCTTTGGGTGTATTCCATCAGGTCCCATTGACTTATTTGTCTTTACTTTTGACAGTTGAAATAGAACCTCTTCCTCTGTAAACTCACGTGTAATAAATGACTCATTTATCCTTTTTCTCAACTGAGGTCCCTTTCCTTCATTTTCATCTGTAAATACAGAACAAAAATATTCATTGAGGCAGTCAGCTAGACCTTTATCCTCTTCTACATACCTTCCTTCTTTTGTTTTTAATCTAACTAATCCTTGTTTTACTTTTCTTTTCTCATTTATGTATCTAAAAAATGTTTTATCCCCCTTTTTTACTGACTGTGCTATTTTCTCTTCTGTGTGTGATTTGGAAGCTCTTATAACTTGCTTAGCCTCTTTCTGCCTAATCTTATAGATCATTTTGTCTTCCTCACTCTGGTTTTTTTTATAATTCCTAAATGCTAACTTTTTGTTTTTAACTATTTTGGCCACATCTGTGGAGTACCACAGTGGTTTCTTTAATTTTTTGCTTTTACTGACAAGCCTAATGCAATTTTCTGTTGCCTTCAATAGTGCAACTTTTGAATAATCCCATTTCTCTTGGACTCCATTTAAATTGCTCCAGTCTGATAATGACTCCTCTACCCATATTCTAATTTTAGAAAAGTCTGTTTTTCTAAAGTCTAAAACTTTTGTTTTTGTGTGGTGTGACTCAGTCACTGTTCTTATATTAAACCACACTGACTGATGATCACTGGATCCTAAACTTTCACCTACAGTAATATCTAATACCAAATCTCCATTTGTTAACACTAAATCTAGTATGGCCTCTTTACGAGTTGGCTCCTCAACAACTTGTTTTAGAGACAATCCCAGTAGGGAGTTTAGAATATCTGTGCTCCTGGCACAAGTAACTAATTTTGTTTTCCAATTTACATCAGGAAGATTAAAGTCACCCATGATGATAACTTCCCCCTTCATTGTCATTTTAGCTATTTCCTCAACTAGTAGATTATCTAACTCTTCAATTTGTCCTGGGGGCCTATAAATCACACCTACATGAGTTACTGTGTGATTGCCAAATTCTAACGTAGCCCAAACAGACTCTATGTTTGCCTCACTAACTTTTATTAGGCTAGATTTTATGCTATCCTTCACATAGAAGGCCACCCCTCCCCCTTTCTTGCCTTCCCTATCTTTCCTATACAGAGAGTACCCTGGTATTGCTATGTCCCAGTCATTTTTCTCATTGTACCATGTCTCAGTAACAGCGACTAAATCTACACTATCAGTTGCCATTATTGCCACAAGTTCATGGATCTTATTCCCTAAACTGCGAGCATTTGTAGACATGACTCTAAGCTTATCATTTTTTAACACACTTGCTACAGGCACCTTCTGTCCTTGTTTTGGGGGACACTTGGATTGATGTTTTATCACCCTTTTGCCCCACCTCCTAGTTTAAATACATCCTAGCAAAACCTCTGAACTGCTCACTGTGAGCAGTAGCTCCTGGAAGACACCTCACAAGACCACCATTGTCCATCTCCACACCTCTTATAATGGAATCCCCCAACAACAACTGCTTTCTATTAGGCCTCACCATAGTCTCCAAGCCGGTATCCACAACACCACTAGTCTCAGTGCCTCTCTCCACAACACCACTAGCCTCAGCGCCTCTCTCCACAACACCACTAGCCTCAGTGCCTCTCTCCACAATACCACTAGCCTCAGTGCCTCACTCCACAATACCACTAGACTTAGTGCCTCTCTCCACAACACCACTAGCCTCAGTGCCTTTCTCCACAATACCACTAGCCTCAGTGCCTCTCTCCACAATACCACTAGTCTTAGTGCCTCTCTCCACAATACCACTAGCCTCAGTGCCTCTCTCCACAATACCACTAGTCTTAGTGCCTCTCTCCACAACACCACTAGCCTCAGTGCCTCTCTCCACAATACCACTAGCCTCAGTGCCTCTCTCCACAATACCACTAGCCTCAGTGCCTCTCTCCACAACACCACTAGCCTCAGTGCCTCTCTCCACAACACCATTACACTCTGAAAGTGCAGAAAATGAATTATGAAGAGCAACAGACTGTGCAAAATGCCTTTTATCCACAACTCTAAGTCTACCAGATCCTCATAGAGATGCATTGAATCAATGCATCTCTATGATACATGTTCAGCTGAACGTAGGTGCTGCACACAGTACAGCAGTGACCCTTCTGAGTGATTGCCACTAGAGGAAGCAATGTAAGCACTGCCTTTTTTTTTTACTGAAAATGCTGCATTATCATTGCTCAGCCTGCAAGGACAGGCTATAGACACCAGAACAACTACATTAAAGGCAGCTTATTGAAGTGGTCTGGGTGCAATGTCCCATGTCACTTAACCCTACAGTGGTAATGTAACCGAGTAAACTTGCAGAAGCCAGACACAGAGAGATGGATGCAGGTTTTCAGGAAGTAAGAGGTCTTTATTAATATACCGATCGGGTCTCGGATGAACTAAAGTTCCAAAACAGGTCTGAGGGCCGAACACATGGAGTACATGCTTTTTATAGAACTATAACTCCTCCCATTAATAGCTCCACCCGCACATACCCTTAACCAATAGTTGGACAGGATTTGGATTTTCTTTCAGGATTTGGAATTTCACCGAAATTCCATCACATTCCTCCCTTTGATGCCTCTAATACAAAATTTTTCCAGATGCATCACCAATCATAGTTTACCAACACCTCTCAAGTAGCCATGGACCAGAACAGACCTTGTAAGCATCTTAGCATCATCACAAACTCCTTCAGCATTCCTCATCTTGAATATGTTCTCTTAGGGCTAGGGATTCATATCTATAGACAGCCATTACATGAGCAGCTGTCTTTCTTTCTATAGTACTCTCTATGATACTATGTATAGATCTGACCACTAATGGAATTAGGCAGGGCAGAAAGAGACATAAGAATATAATGAATACTACTCCTCCTACTAACGCCTTAATCCCTCCAAGCTGCTCATACCAACTTCCAAACCAACTACTAGGATTATACCCATTCCAGACCTGAGTAGGTACATGCGTCAGTTTAACCATGTGGCTTGTAAGTTCAGCCACTGCCCGCCCTTCATCATCTATGTGCAAACAACAGTTGCTGAGATTAAACTTTCCGCATACACCTCCCTCTACTGCTAATAGGTAGTCCAGAGCTAATCTATTTTGATCGATTGCTGATCTCATCCGAGTATTTTGCTTAGCTAGAAGATTAAGTGCTTGAGCCATCTCATTAGTGATAATCTCAACCACCGCCTGTAGTCTTATAATACGGTTGAGCATATATATTGGGGTTCTATATCCATAGAATAGCTGTCTCATTAGTGATAATCTAAACCACCACCTGTAGTCTTATAATATGGTTGAGCATATATATTGGGGTTCTATATCCAAGTAGCAGGTCCATAATAATTAATAATGTGTTGGGGAGGCTACTCATCATCTTCCCAGCTACCTATATTCAAGGATGCTAGCTTCTTTTTATGATTTACATCATAAATCTTAACTCCCAAGGTCTCTCCTGTCTCAATTGGCAACAAGAAGAAGGATGGTTTGAGCATACCTAATACACATGCCCCTTCCCAATCTTGTGGTAACTCTGAATATGCTTTCTTACCGCAGATCCAATATAAATTTGCTGGGGCTTTCCAATTGGTTGTAGCAGATAAGTCAAACCATACCTCTTTTGAATGGGTGTAATTGGCAAATGGATTAGTAGGCTCTTAGACATTTGAAGCTGACCACCAAGTAGTATCTTTAGTATCGGCATTATAGGCTTTCTGTCCTACACACGTTAACTCACCAACAGGTGTGGTATACAATGGCCCTTTCCTGGCTAAATATACATGACCTATAATAGAGGTTTTTAACCACCACTCTGATTTACCTCTAGTACTTACTTGATGATCAGACTGAGAAAGTATTTGTTGTTCAACTGTCTCAAAACCAGGGTACCATACTTCCTTTGCCTCCCATGGCCACTGGTCTCCCATATTAGTACCTCCACGTCCAAAGCAATTAGTTACATTAAGACTACCCGCAATACTCTCAGCCAAATCAATAAATAAGCTCTTAACATTATGGGGAATTTTATCCTGAACACTCCTCAATTTCCTCATAGAAGGAATGAAAAACCTGATGAGTTTGAGTTGCTATCATCTCAGTTTCAAGTCCTACATATATTATGGTTCCTGGATCTACTCCTGTGCCATATATTTGGAACCCAAATAGATTTCCAAACTTATCAATAAAATGTTGTGGATTAGAGATGGTCATATGGACAGGATTACATTCCATAGACTTACAGTGTGGTGTAGTGGGCAACCTTTGGATAATCATATCTTGATCTACTGTTTTTCCCCAGGTCGCCCACCCTACACAAGACCAATATGGACAAAAATTAAAATCCCTATTTGGGCAATCAGAATCAGTAGATCTTTTACTGGGACATAAATATTTATCATTAAACCCATAAGTTTGTTCCCATTTAAGATTACCACATACATTTCAAGGTTTTCCACTACCCGAGATCGCCTTACATGTCCGTAGAATGTATGGTATTTATCACAGTCCTATTTATCAAGGTCCCCTGGGAGTTACTGTTCCGAATTACCAACCAAATTGTACGGGGTTGGAATTGGGGATCAAAACATTTAAGCTCTCCTGATATTGGTTTGCACACACTATAATCTATATCTAAATATCTACACTTAGATACAGATCCCCTACACTAATACTGTGAGTGCCAAATGAGAGTTTGGGATATTTGGTTACCTGTTTTCGTAGTCTTAACGCAGCTAACACAACTCTGTATGTCCTCACTTTTACCTTCCTGAAAAATCACAAAAATGCCTAAACACCTAATATAACATATTATTTCAGAAGTCCTCATTTCTACTTTTCGACCATGCGACTGCACCTCAGCTTCCCAATTGTGAGGGTTGCAAGGATTGTCGTTCTTCTGATCCTCACTTTTCTTCACAGAGGTCCCTTCAGGACACTCTGACTATGACATGTAGATAGGTGGTCAGGCTTTATTATGGCCGTCAAAACACCTACTTGCTGATATCTGTTGTTACTTTCAACTAAGATGTCCCAATATCTCCTCGTATTATTTCTCACTCCGACTGAGTTACCCGCTTTAACCGGATCTTGCAAGGATTTTCAGGATCTGGAATAGCTTGCCAAGAATCTGCTGCTGGTTTAACCCTAGAATGATGAATCCACAGAGTCACTTCTGCCACCTTTACAGCTGTTGGAGTAGATAAAAGAACAACATAAGGACCCCTCCACTTTGGACCTAATTGAACAATATTCCATTCTTTTATCCACACTTGATCTCCTGGTTGATAGGAATGAACAGGTGGATATATGTTCACAGGTAACCTATCTTGCACCCTACTGTATTTTCGCCATAGTTTTACCCAACACTACAACCTGCTGCCGAGTAATTCCTTCACCCAACTGATTCAAGTCCCCACTTAGATTACTAAATATGGGAGGTGGACGCCCATACACGATTTCAAAGGGAGACAGACCCATTCTTCTGGTAGGAGTACTACGTATCCGCAACAGAGCTATTGGAAAAAGGACATTCCACTTGAGTTGAGTTTCCTGACACATTTTAGCCAATTGTTTTTATTTGTTCTGTTCATCCTTTCCACCTTTCCAGAACTCTGAGGTCTAAATGCTGTATGAAGTTTCCACTTAATACCAAGCACATGAGTCAATTGTTGTAAACACTGATGGATAAAGTCTGGACCATTGTCTGATCCGATAGAACACGGAAGTCCATATCTGTGTATAAATTCTCGCAACAGAAATCGTACAACTTCTCCTGCCTTTTCTGTACGAGTTGGACAAGCTTCTACCCAACCTGAGTAGGTACACACAGCTACCAACAAGTAACGATATCCCCCAGATTTAGGCATTACAGTGTAGTCTATTTGCAAATCTGACATTGGGAGTCCTCCCATATATTGAACTCCAGGGGGTTTGACAGGGCCGTGTTTTGCTTTGTTTCGAGCACACAAAGCACATCTTCGAACAATAGCTTGAGTAAGATTGGATAATCTTGGTAGAAATGTTTCCTGAGAGATTCTTCCATACTACCTCTTCCTGAATGTGTACCATTATGGAAGTTCTGAACAATCTCTATAGCCAGAGATGTCGGAATAACTATTCTTCCATCTTCTAACTGATACCAATTATTCTCCAAGTATTTCCCAGCTTCAGTCTTCAACCACTCCATCTCTTGGGTTGTATATATCGGAGTCCATTGAGACAGAGGTGCCGGCACAAGGGCAGCAACATACCCCACATATTCCTCTTGCCTGGATTCAGCGGCATGTTTTGCTGCACTATCGGCCATGCGATTTCCTTTTACTACATCACTATCACCTTTCAGATGTGCCCTGCAATGTTTAATACTGAATTCCTTCGGTTACCATACCACCTCTTATAGTTGGAGTATTTCTGCTGCATAATTGATTTCTTTCCCTTCTGAATTCAACAATCCCCTTTCTTTATACAATGCTCCATGGGCATGGGTGGTTAGAAAAGCGTATTTCGAATCTGTGTAAATATTCACTCTCAACCCTTCAGCTAATTGCAGGGCCCTTGTTAATGCTATCAGTTCCGCTTTCTGTGCTGATGTCCCTTTCGATAGTAGCCGTGCTTCTATCACCTTGTCTATGGTTGTTACCGCATACCCTGCATAACGTATACCTTCTTTGACATAACTACTACCATCCGTATAATACTGTATGTCCGGATTCTGGATGGGGAAATCATGAAGATCAGGCCTGCTTGAAAACACTTCATCCATTATCTCCAAACAATCATGTTGACTTTCAGTAGTCTGAGACAGAAGGGTAGCTGGATTCAAATTATTGACAGTCTCGAGGTGTACTCTTGGATTTCCACATAACATAGCTTGATATTTGGTTATTCGACTGTTGATAAACCAATGATTTCCTTTGTAATCCAATAGGGTCTGTACTGCATGGGGTACCCGCACATAGAGTTCCTGACCCAATGTGAGCTTGTCAGCTTCTGCTACCAACAGGGCAGCGGCGGCCACTGCTCACAGACAAGGTGGAAGACCACTGGCCACTGCATCCAACTGTTTGGACATATAAGCTACAGGTCTTTGCCATGATCCCAAATACTGAGTTAATACTCCCACAGCCATTCTTCTTTGCTCATGTACATACAGATAGAAAGGACGCGTGTGATCTGGTAGACCTAGGGCTGGGGCACTCATAAGTGCTTTCTTAACATCATCAAATGCTTTCTTTTGTTCAGAGGTCCACAAAAAGGGGTCATATTCTGGGCCTTTGACAGCTTCATATAGAGGTTTTGCCAGTATCGCATAATTAGTAATCCATATCCTACAGAATCCTGCTGCTCCTAAGAATTCTTGCACTTGTCTTCTATTCTTAGGTATAGATATCTGACACACTGCTTCTTTTCTTTCAGGTTCCATTATGGAATCCTAAATATTTAACAGTTGACTGGCACAATTGCGCTTTCTTCCTTGATACCTTGTATCCTGCTCTCCATAGAATGTGAAGCAAATCATAAGTTGCTTGTTGGCATATCTCTTTAGTAACAGCCGCTATCAAAAGATCATCCACGTATTGAAGCAATACACATTCTCCTGGGATGGACTTGAAATCTTGCAAATCCTGGCTTAATGCAGATCCAAATAGGGTAGGTGAATTCTTGAACCCTTGAGGTAGTCTGGTCCAGGTCATCTGACGCTTTGAACCTGTAACAGCATCTTCCCATTGAAAAGCAAAGATACACTGACTCTCAGCAGCAAACCTGAAGGCAAAAGAAAGCATCCTTAAGGTCTAAAACTGTGAAGTAGGTTGCCCCACCTGGTATCAAAGCAAGCAAATTATAAGGGTTGGGTACAACTGGGTGTATATTGACTACTGCATCATTAACTGCTCTCAAATCTTGTACAGGACAATATTCATCTGATCCTGGTTTTGAACAGGTAATAATGGAGTGTTCCAGGGGGAAGTACAGAATTTTAGGATGCCATACCTTACAAACTTATCCAAGTAGGTCCGTATGTTT